GCTGATCTTCTGGATGCTGGCCGGGAACTTCACGATGGAGTCTTGCCACCTGAAGCGCCAAAATGTTCTCCATGGAAGCGGAAATCGGTGCAGGGAAGAAGGGGCCATGTCCCCAAAAAGAAATGCTCCCACCTCTCCAGCGCTTTCAAACCATCGGAAGGCGGTAAAATCGGTGGGAGGAAGGGGCCATGTCCCAAGAAAGATTTATTTTTGCTCCCTTGGAAAAATACCAACCTGGAAGAAGGGCCCATGTTGAGAAACTTCCATGGAAGGAAGCAACCCTGTCTTGTGACCGCTCACCTTCTCCCCAACCGATCCGCGAAGGGATCAGCCGAGCTGCTCTGGCAAACTTGCACGCATCAAGTTGGAAAAAGGAAGCAGCCATCCGTCGCTGGATTCCCACTCGCCAAATAGGTGATTCTCCTTCTTTGGGGGGGCGCTGCTGTTGGCATACCGAGGAAAACCACAAAATCTTGGGGGTCCCCACTCCCTTCGGCCGCTTTTTTTTTGCCACGCCAAAAGGACAACAACCCGGAAGAATCTTGGGGATCCTCATATCGAGCTTTGGCCAAGCCGATCCCATCCCAGGCGTCGGACTGACAAGTCGGTGCCGTCCCAGGCGCCCGCAGAAGGCCCGCAGCCCGATGCCCTGACCCAGCAGCTTGCCCTCCCGCAGCACCAGCAGCCACTCGTCCGGCTTGGCCACTCGCCACCTGCGGCTTGCGGCGCTTGCGGCGCTTGCGGCGCTGGCGGCGCTGGCGGCGCTGGCGGCGCTGGCGGCTTGGAGTGGCGCTGGCGGCTTGGAGTGGCGGCCCAAAAACCGCGTCTGAACGATAAAACAAGGGGGGTGGGAGGGGGGGAGGAACCAGAGGGCATGGTTCTTATGGAGGTCCTGCCCTCACTTCCCTACAGAGAACCAGCCGAAAGCCGAACCTCGGCCCTGCCAACCGACTCCAATCCATCCTGACTCAGAACTGCAAGCTGGCCATGAGGACCGGGCATGGGATGAGAATGGGTGAGGTAGATCGACCGCGGCGAAGGCAAATTGTTGAATTGTGGGGCAAAAGGTTCGAACCTGCCACCTTTGGCGTGCTTCTCGGGCCCCTCTTTGGGGATTGAAAAATTGGAACCAGAGCCCATGTCTCAGTCTGCCCTTCGAGTTGATTCTGCAGGCGACGGTTCTAACTGATCCCCTGCCTGGAATACCAAATGATCGCTGCCACCGTATACGGAATCCTTGGCCGCACGAAACGGGGACACTGCCGGCTTGCCGTGGCCATGTGAGGCACAGGGCCCTGACAAATTGGGAGATAGAGGTTTGTGCTTTTGGTTCAATGGATAGGTCATGACCTCTCTTGTTTTCCCTTAAAGGCTCCTCTCACTTGCATTGGCCAAAAACCATCTCCGAACCTGTTGGTTTTCATCATTGAAGTAACCTAAGAGTGCGCTGTCCCAACACGGGCCCCACAAACGGTTGATTTCCTGTTGTTTCCCTTCACCAACCGAAAGGGGGTGCACCATGCCAAGAAACTCCCACATCCTGCTTGGGTCGGATGGCCCCGCTTCCCTTCCTTCTTCTCTATCACTCTTGTTTGTGTCAAAAAAGCCCTCATGTCCCACGCTTGCTGTGACGCTTTCTGTGACAGAAGTGGGCAGTTTTCGCAGAAATGGTAGGCAGCCTCCCGTAAGGACTTGTGCCCTGTCTTGCTTCTTGACCTCCAAACCAGTGCGCTGTCCTTTCGCCTATGGCCAACCTCAAAGAGGAATCCGTGACCCTACGGAAGAGTGACTCAAAAAGCGGTCGAAAAAGAGACAAGCGAAATAAAAGAAAGGCACTTTGTCTGCTCGGCTTCCTGGTTGGGCACGCCGGGCGTCTTTTGTTTGCGTCCTTGTCACACGCAAAGGCCTGTGTGCGCCTTTTTCTTTTTTCCTGGCGTGTTCGGGGGGTACGGGTGGCGAACATGTGGAAGCCTAGCAAGTCAGGTAAACAATGCTGGTGCGTTTGTTTCCAACTCAGCATGCTTGCTCGTGAATCCATGCTTTTCCCACTTACTTCCATCATTTCGGTCACGTGGGCGAGTACACGGCCTTGACGGGGGTTTGGAGCTGCGCAAAAAAAAAGAGAGCCTCAACAGGAGGCAGCCTCCCCATCCCCCGTCTGCCACGTCTCAGCGCCAGGAAGGGATGCCTCCGCAAAGCGGCCAGCAACATTGCAGCTGCCTGGGACGACTTCCATCGCCCGTTTTCGGAGAGGCCGTTCGGTCCCGGAAAAGAACAAGCGGTCGGTCCGTTTCGGCCTCTGAAAAATTAATATCCAAACAGGGGGTCCATTTCCCAACAGGAGATTCCTGCACAGATACACAGAGGGTCCATTTCCCAACAGGAGATTCCTGCACAGATACACAGGGGGTCCATTTCCCAACAGATTCCTGTACAAATAGGCATGGGTCGTAAAGTCAACCACGAGGAATTGGACCGCAGATGTTAGTCCATGTTACCATTTACCAGGGCAACCCACTTTTGGGATTACCCCCCAATTTTTGACAACCACAGCCAAATAAGGACTTGTTGCGGAAGCAACATGTTATTGTTCATGGGCCCTACAAACCAAAACTAATTGGACCCTGCTACACGGCAACCGATTTTCAGTGGTGTCGTCTCTTCATCCTCCCCCCCAAGAAAAGTGCTGACTCCCCAACCACGGATCCGCCAGATGCGGCCCCAGAAGAAATGCATGTCCGTTGAATTGGCCAGAGAGCCAAAATTTGGCTGACTCGAGTGGAAAAGTCCACAAATCGGGGGCACTGAGAAAGGACTTCCTGCATTCACGGTGCTCGCCCCTTCCATCCACACCCTCATTTCGTCTTCCATGCTAGGTGGGGAAAAAGGAGTGTCGTGGGTGGGGTTTGGGGGCTGTGCCCTTCATGTTACTCTTGGTGCGCGGGCCCCAAAAAAGCGCCGGCTGGTGGGTCGGAAATAAACAAATGCGCGCCCCTTTGTTTCGTACACCTGGTGCAAGTGGCTCCTCCGGACTCATAGGGGTTTGGCTTCAAAAACGGATTCCCTGCCTTTTTCGCGTGGTTTCTTTCCAGTGACCCAGTGCAAAGGGTTCCCAACCACAGACCCGGTTTATTCGGCTCCCTGTTCCAAGCAACACAAACAGGCATGCCTTTTTCTTAGGGGTTTCCCAAACATAGCTGTTTCCCCAAAAGGCACACAAAAACAGGCACGTAAAAGCACCAAACAGCTGGTTTCCCGGTTGTTGTCCCTTGAAAACACACAAAACGCCGGCGCGCCCCAGAAGCAGCCCAAGCGTCCAAGGTGGCCATAGCGCATAAGGAGCCCGCCCAGTGGGAGGCAGTTTTCCAGCCTGCGCGCGGGATGGGCGGATGGCGGACACGGTCAGGTTCCTTCGCCAGGGAGCTCCTTTCACGGCGACCTTCAGGTTGGATTGTGGCTGGGGTTCAGTCAGAGGGGATTCAGTCAGAGGGGCATGGAATTGGTACTGTGCTGCTCTAGGCAGGGCGGGCGATTGTGGCTGAATCGGGGCGGGATTTAGCGTGGTTCTTGTGGGCTTAGGGTCAGTCCAGAGTGTGTTTTTGTTTTTTGTTTTTTTGTTTTTTTTTCTCGCAGGGTTTGGGGCGAGTTTTGCCGGCCACTTAGGCCGGTGTTTATCGGCTGGCTCGGTGGTTTGGAGCAACCCATCCAACCAACCAACCAACCAGGCCTGAAATTGGAAGCCCTGTGCCGCAAAAACCAACGAGCCACGAAGAAAACGACTTGGCATGGAGCACTTCGATGCCTCCCCTGACGCTTGGGCCCACCTTCTCACTCGTACCAACCAACGCCCTTTTGGAGAGATGCCTAAAGAAAGAAGTCCCTTCATGAGTTGAAGCGAATCCTTTACCCATTCCCCACCCATGAAGGTGGAATCCCCAAACGAGCCCTGAGAAAAGAAAGCCTCAAGGAAAGAGGGACCTTCCGCTTTCAACTTCATTCCAACCTCTCCCTAGTATGCGTCCTCTTTCTCCCAAGGGAAAGCGTCCCCTTGCGCCACCCAGAGGGGCCTTGAGGGCTTCGCTTCATGATGCTTTTCGGGTCCCTGAAACTTCGGGTGAGGTCAGACCCCAAGACTAACGAGGCTACGAGTCATCCCAATCTCCACCAAAATCGACGGGTGGTGCACCCACCCCAAAGTGGGATCCCATTGGTTTTGACCCACAGCCAAATGGCAGCTTGGGACATGGAACCAAAGACTGAACCTGCGTAACCCTAGCTCTTTAACATCCACCCGAGCCACGCCTGTGAGATCGTGCGCCATGGCGGCTCGGGTCGCTCGCTCCGGTCGCTCGCTCGGGTCGCTCGCTTGGTCGCTTGAGGTGCGAAAAATGCCGCAGGGAACCGGATCTATCGTCCCTGTTTTGGCGCGTACAGCTGAAGTTGGGGCAGAACATCGGGACTCCGCAGGAACATCCGTGTGCTGGGAGCACCGCCGTCAAGTTAAAAAACAGGCCATCGGAATCCCAACCATCGGCTGGCACAGCCCAAAGGAAAGGCCAGCTGTCATGCAGGAGGACGCAAATGAAGATTACAGCTTCATCAAACATCGCCGCGCTGGCCGGGGAGCGAGGCTTCAATGCGTAGCTTGGATCATTTTTCCGGTCTCCCCGCTTGACTGTCTGAAGAGAAACGATTTGGCCCAAGTTCCCCAGTTCTCCCCCGCCCATACATGTCAATGCCAATCACCCCCCAGACCCATGACACCCCAAGGGTAATTCACCATACTCTTTACAGGGAGAACGCCAGGACCTCCTTCATGCTGCGGGATCTTTCAGGGCACCAACGAAACGAAGCGAAACACAACTCAGATGCCCAGTGGATTTCCATGGGAAAAAAGGGGCATCCTTCTTTGGTTGGTTGAGTTTAAGGGGGTCCCTTCCCCAAAAAAGGTAAACAGTAAGCAACCCACTGGGCAACTGGGACAAGGCGTGGCTTCCCGCCCTCTCCTGGAGACTCGCCTCGCTCTCCTTCTGCGCCCGCTGCAAACGGTCCACCACCTGCAGACGCCCCAAGCGCAAAACCCGGGCAATGTCCACCTTCCATTTGCTTGCTCAAGACCCCTGCAGGAAATGAAAACATATTTGTCCAGTAGTGATAGATTCGCTTTAAAACCAAAGAGGCAAATAATAATATTAAAGAAGAGCAATTGGAAGCCACTCTCTGCACTAGTCACTCGGCGTATTGCGCCACCCCCTTGCCTTGCTGCGCTCGCGCACACGCTCCTGTGGCTGCTGAGAAGCGGCCATACTTGGGGCAGTGTGCTGAATCTTTGCCTTGTATTTGCTCTTTTCTCGAGTGTGCCAAAACTTGGACATGGCCCGTTTTAATTGTCGAACTCGCTTCCCAGTGTCGACACACATCCATGCCAAGTGAGTTGCGAGCAGGGCCCAAAGCACAGCTATGCAGTGCAGCGGACTGCTTTGAGGGGACGTGAATTCTGTGTTCAGCATACTTCAAGCCACCTAGCTCGGCGGGGAACTCTTTTGCACGGCGCGAAAAGGAAAAGGATCTTCACAAGGCCCGTGCTTACTCCTTTAGAGGAATTGCGCCCAAAGTACCCAGCTTCCCGTAGGGCCAGAGACAACTGATTTAGGCAAAGCAAAACAAGATGGCGCGGTTCGGGCACTTCTGTTTGAAGGTGGCGCAAAATGACGTCAGAGTTCCGAAGCAAGGGGGTCAACAGTTGACAACTCTTCTCGCAACAGTAGTGAGATCACTTGAAATGGAAAATTGATACGTGAAGACAGATAGATGACATTGGCACAGCTGTCTGTTCATCCCCCATCACTCGAACTTCGAACCAAATCCCTGCAACTGTTCCACGGTTTTCCAGCCTAGTTTCGTTGGTCTAAGGCCTAAACAATTACGCACATTGGTAGCTGATCGTGACTTGCTTCGGTAGGGGCTGATTCCTTGTCCATTCTGACCAAAACCATCGTTCTTTTTAGAAACCTGTCGTTTTCCCTGGCTCTCTGGAGGTGTTCCAGAACGAAGGATCCCTGGAAGGGGAAAGGTACCAGATCGGTTGTAAAGTACCCCATGACCAAATATGGGTTGAAACGGCCACAACAAACAAATTATTTTGGGCGGGTGTCGCAAAAAAAATCAGCGCACAGCCGGCGTCCTCATGGTCTCCTGGCACGTCTCTCCGCAGCTCCACCTCTCCGGCTCGACGAAACAAACGCGGGTACCGGTGACGTCTGGGTCTCGAGGCGACCCTTTTGGACCTTACACACGAAAACCGAGAGTGGAAGCCACCAATTTCTACAGGCTTTGTCTTTTCCCGAGTGTGACACAGACCCAAATGGAAGCGACCCCAAAAAAGGGGAAGCCGCAGAAAAAGTCACCACCTAGTCTTCCTTCACAAGGGATACATGGCTGCGGGTCAAAAATAGGGTAACCCCAAAATGGGAGCCTGGACAATGGAACCAAGGGTTCTAAAATCTGAGGTCCAATTCCTGTGTTTTACTTTACGACCCATACTCATGTGGCACTGTGGGCCAAGCTGTTGTTCAACCATTCTGTGGTTGTTTCCTGCCAAATATCCAACAAGTTTGGCTTTCCCTTCTCACAAGGCATTGGACTTTGGATGGAACCAAGAGTTCAACAATATGGGGTTCATTTCCTGGTGGTTTAAACGCTGGCCCAACATCTTGGTTGCTGCAACGCCCCCCCCCGCAAAAAGCGGATCACTTTTTGGGGGTTTAGTGGAAAACGCCCTTTGTTTCAACCAAAAAATAAAGTCTAAAGATCCGTTGATCCGTTGCCCAACAGCGGTCAAGACATGGTTCAAACGAGTTCTTTGACCTTCGCAGGCGCCTCGAGCTCATGCAGCCGCTTCCGCAGGAAGTCCTTGAGGTGCTGCTCCTTTCCTGCGGTTCCCGCACCGTTCGGTTGTTCGGTCCCGAACGCCAAGGAAACTGGCCGCATTATTTTACCATGGACAAAGTCACCTAAGTGGTGGGTTAAAGGGAAACAACCGATTCCATTTTCTGACTTTGATAACCCCCAAAAACAGTCCAAATAATGACCCCTGGGAAACCCCTTTTGGGGGTGTGTTACAGGGAAACCACTAAGGAAACGAATCGTTCTCTTGGGGCTCCCGATTTGGATGCCCTTTCAAACAGCGCACAACCACTCAGCAAGGAACAAAAGAACGAACACACTAACAGGAACAACACGGGACTCGATCACAACCAGGGCTGTGGGAAATGCAATCCACTTCTGTGATACAACCAGAAGAAGACCTTCCCAGCGACTAACCCTCCCTTCTAAAGGGGGAGATTCCCAAAAGTATCACAGAAGTGGTTGGATGAACCCCGAGTGATCAACCACGAAGCTTCTCACCTTTCCTTCCCAGGCCTTGGATCTCCCGCTGCAGCTTATGGCAGGCGGCGGCGCTGGCTGTGAGCCTTGGGAGGCAAAGCGTCGAGCCCCCCAAGATGCTTGGTGTATCCTGTTGGTTTCAGCTTCCACTTCAGCTAACCAAAAGGGGGTCCACTTTGAGAAACACATTGACCATATGGACTCCTGTCTTGTAAAGTTAAAGTTGATCGGACATATGCAACGCCTAAAGCAACACGATGTTGGACCATGCTTTCTCCTGATCTCGACTATAACCGGTCGGGTCCCCATAGTGGAAGCATGAATCGAAGGAACGGGTTGCCACGCAAGGCCTCAACATGCCAAGCTGGATATGGCCAGTTTTGATCATGGGTAACTTGTCCCATGTGGGAAATGTCGTCATCTCGGTGGTTTCCCCCAATCGTCATCCCAAAGTAAAGCACCTTTTGATCAACCCCCATATGGAAACATTGAGGCCTTAAGATCCCCGAGAACTTTGTTTGGACTGTGTTTAAGAGGGCAAGGGGGGAATACCCCCAGACAGCCTCACATGTTGCCTGAGACCTGCACCAAAGCCAAACCACAACATGGAGGGTCCCGATATGTGAAAAACGACGTCGACATGCAACCATTCAGAGATGCCACGGTTAGAGCAAACTCTATATACACCAATCGGTTTCCCAAGGGTCATAAAACCTGGCTTTTAAGTACCCCATCAACCCCATTCTCAATATAAATTTGAGGGGGACCTCCAAATGTCGGTTTTGCGTTGGTTTCCCTTTAAAACCACAAAGAAAGGGCACCCTCAAAAAAAGACAGACCCCCTGTTTCGGCAATTTATCTTTGTCTCGGTGTTTTCCAAGCAACTGTTTGCACCTCCAGGCAGACACGCAGGGTTGAGACAAGTCCTACAGTCACAGCCCCTACGAAGCAGCTGCTACTTGCTCAGGGCCCAAGAGGCAAAGCAAAGGAACAACCTACGAGCCAGGCACCAAGTGGCCCACGAATCTCCGCCCTGAAATCCATGTGGGTCAGCAAGACCTGGATGAACCAATAGCGGCATTGAAGACTGTTGTGTGCCTTTTTCCAGGTGCAACATGGTCCAAGAAGATCCAAGGCCAAAGGCCCAAAGGCCCCCCCGACCCGCCACGCTCCCCAAAGCTGAGAAGGGGGCGACTTCTCGAGATTTTGGAGCTCCTGCGCGTGCCATTGTCAGCCCGCATGTTCTATGAAGGCCTAATTAGTACAAAATAGTGCATCTTTGATGTCAACTATACTAAGCAATGAGAATGGATGAGAATGGAACTGTGGAGAACTTTGAAACCAAACGAAGTCAACATCGTTGGCCCGCTCTCACATCAAACGTTTGAACACAACTTGGCCAAGCGCTGCGTTCACGGTTTTATCCCCGGGGTCACGGGAGTGGCCTCTCCCTTGAAACGAATTTCACTCTGGTCGCTTGCAAAAAAGCCAAAGAATCTGGAATGACGCCCCTCCAGCCTGCTTGCTGCTGGTTCACCGGAAGAAGAAGGAGCGGCTCAACTCACTCAAAAGTCGAAGCGAGTTGAAACAAGTTGCCGCACTCTGCTTGCAAGCAAGGCAAGTGCCACCCCTCCGGCGGCAAAAGCAAGTTGTAGGCATCACTGCGGAGCGTTGACGACGGCGAGGAGAAGAATGATTTGACGTCGTGCTCCCTACAGTGCTGTAGCCATCCATGTTTGCAATGGTGTTGGCAAACATGCTCAAACAAAGCCAGCTTAAAGTGAAACCTACCAAAGTATACTTGAACCTGTTTTAAACGAATTTTAGAGGCGATACTTACACACATGCTTGACCCGACCCTTGTCCGAAACATGCGTCGTGTAAGTGAATAGGTGATGCCAAAAAGCACCTGGGACAACAGGCAGCCTTGGTTCGTAACCGATGCCTCCTTTGCATGGTGCAACTTATCTTTCAAGCACAAGTACCCTTATGAGGAGATGACTTCTTCCTCCACATCTCTGTCGTTTTAGGCCCCAAGCTGCGTAAGCTGAGTAAGCTGCCGCAGATCTGATCTGCGCACTGCCGGATGTTCATCCACTGGCATCCGGGAACTGACTTCACTTGCTCACCAAGCCTAGAACTCATAGAAGTCACGCTCTTTGCATTTGCCAATGACAAAGACTTGGTACCATAGAGTAAAAGGGAAAAGAGGTCAGGCGCCCAAAGTCAACCCCAAACCCTTGAGCCAAACCAAACACCAAACCAATCTAACCCCTTCTCCCACCCCCCACCCCCCTGCCCACAAAAAACAAACAACCTGTTTTTCCTCACCTCCCATGTTCCTGTCCCTCCGTTTTGCCCGCGCGCAAAAAAAAAAAAGCACCTGCCACCGCTCGGCTCCTCCCCCAGCTGCTTCAGCTGCAACTCCTCCTCCGCGGTCAACTCGCCCAAGGTCTTGCTCTTCATCTCCGACTCCATCGCCGCAATGGCCGCCTCAAGAAGCGGCAGTCGCGGAAATGGGTGGAAGATCTTGGAATGGGAATTTGCAGCCAAACGATGGAGACAAAGCTTGGCCAGTTGTTTCCCTGGGAAAAGGCGACAAGGACACCCTCATCCGGGACATACCCGCATGAAAGTAGGGGGGTGGCAATGAAGAGCGCAGCAACCAGAAGCGCAGTGAGTGATTGCAGCTAGCGAGGTATCCTTCAAAGTGCGATCGAAGGAGCGCGATCTCAATCCGCCAGACTTCTACTCTACGCTTTAGAAACTTGAGGCAAATCCCAAGCACATGCTCTTTCGAGCGACAGCGCGAGCCTCGTACTGGGCGATGTGACTCTGCAGCTCAGCACAGCGCTCCTGGTTTTGACCTCGAGAGCAACGGGCAAGGGTTGCCCCATTTCGGTTTGGTTGCACACTTTGAACATTACGGTGGACATTCCCACACTTTTGAGGGGTTCCCTATTAAAAGTCAGTCTCCATGACACCCATTGCCCCAAAATCACGGGTACATTGCCACAAAGGTTCTCGGAAACACAAGGGACCGTTTTTGGTGGGGCCACCAATGTATCTCAAAGAACCACGAATACTGCAAAGGGGACACCACTCATCAATTGCATTGACCTATTGCCCGAAAAAGCCCAGCCTCAACATAGGACTCCATCTGTCCCAACAGAACCTTCATCATGGAGGAAAAGGATCGCAAACCAAAATCTGCTTGAATCCGTGTGTAGGGTTTTCGCAAAAAAATCCACACTGGGAACCCTGAAACATGTCAAAATGCGACCACAATTGGCCAACGGGAATTCAAGGCACTTTCACCGAGTGAGCTCCTCCTAGCTGCACACCCCTCACGCACGCGCGGTTCTCAAAATAGTCCCCAAAAATGGTCGGTCTATCGGTTTGGCTTTACTTGACGTACGGACAATCTTGGTCCATTTTGAGAAACAAACCGAGAAACTCCAAACCGGCTGCCCGGCGCACAAGCTCCTCCTGGCGAGCTGCCCGGCCTGCCGGAAAAAAAAAAAAAAAAAAAAAAAAAAAAAAATCTTAACTTTACAACCGCTGGTGTGCTAGAAAAACAGCTCTGCTTTATTTTGCAGCCCCCTACTAAAACTGGACAGACAACTAAAAGGCATTGAAAACCAAAACCTGAAAGCTTGCCGACATAATCTTGTCTATGAAAGTGCACGCCGAATCAAAGTAGGTTTACGTTTTTTTGAAGGGGAGCCCTTTTTTTTTTGGGGGGGGGGGGTGACGGGAAACCAAAAGGAACAAAACACAAAACATGTTGGGCCCCTCTATTTTCAGACACGCCCTACTGTGCTGTCCTCGGATCCCTTGTTAAAAGTTCAACTTCTAGTGGTTGAAATGGAAACCGACCCACCTTTCACCAACTAAAACTCATCTATTAGCCTCCTCAAATCCCCTGCCAAAAGTGTAACTTTTAGTGCATTAACAGTCCAAGGAACCGGAAATTGCCGGCCAAAAAGAACCTGCCCACGGCTTTCGTTCGGATGCCGCGACTCATTCGCGCCATCGGACGCCTTCCGCGTCCTCCACCGCCTCGCTGGCCGCAATTAGCGCCGTCCGCCTGCTTGAAAAATCGAGCGGGCGGGTGGGTCATTTTTTGAGGGACCCCAGAGAGGTTAGAATAACTTGGTAAAGCTACTGGGGGACCTAGTGGCGGTTCTCCCTTTGGTTTGCCTGCAAAAAATATGCCCAGAAGGGTACCCTCAAAAAGAGGACAAACGCAAATAAGGTCCAGAAGGAGGGGCGTGTGGCGCTCTTGGTGCATGAAATCCTTTCAGGGCCCCAGTCTCGTGGTTCTCAGTCACGGTCAAAACTTGGCATAAAGGATTCTACCCAAAACCATGCAAGGAATCAAAAGGGCACATATCCACACCAATTTAGGGTTGGGGCTGTCACTTACTAGCCGCTTACCCAAGTGAACCCTTCATTGTGCCAAGAGGTCGCACTCTTGACTGCAGGGGGTTCCTTCCCAGCGCTCACCCAGACGGAAAGGGTTCCTGGTTATGACGGAAATTTACATATTGCAACCGAGCCTATCACAACCCGTGGTGAATTACAAGGGAGTGCCAACCAAAAAATAGTACCGCCAGAACCTGACTTTTTGGGGTGTCCTGGATTGGGCCATTCTCCATTTTGGGACGTCCCAAAAACAGGTTCCAGGTGTCAGCTGTTGGGGGAAGAAAAAAAAACACTCGCAGACTTTTGGGGCTCCCGCCTGGAGCCTCGGTCCTCCTGCAGCTCCCGGCGCTTGCCTGCTTCAAGCATGTGGCTCAAAAATCGGAGCCCATTTTGGGAATGGCGAATGGATTACCAACCGGTCCATTTCCTGGAACCTTCCCTGTCTCATACCCAAAACCTGTGCTTCCTTTTGTGGAAAGCTGGTCAACAAATGTGGCGCCTTCTTGGACCCTGGTTTTCCGCCTTGTGCCGCCTTTTAGGGGGGGGCCACTGAAAAGGCCCCCTAATTTTGACCACCTTCCAACAGCAGGGGTAGTCATGCCGAGGGCTCGTTCAGGCTGCAGTTTCTTGTTTTCTTGTTTTCTTTCTTTTTGTTGGGGGGGGGGGGGGGCAATTTATTGCAAGGATACAAAGTTGCGATCGAAAGTGCGGTGCAATGTGCTGACCAACTCCTTCACGATTTCCCCCAAACCCAGGTCGCCGGCAAAAGAGAGACAGAGAGAGAAGCCGAGCGCGTGGAACTGCCCACGCCGCCAGGTTTTGTTTCTTCTTTTCATCCAGCCATTGGACGGTGGCGGCTTATGTCGTTCCAGAACTCCTGGGTAGCTCCAAATCGCTCCCTGCTTAAAAGCCAATCTGGATACCCACAGCTCCAAAAGCCTCCCCAACCCAACCACCAGCTAGGTGTTGTTTTTTCCCGTTTCTTTCTGGGATCCGAAAACCAAAAACGCGGCAGCTTCCGGCGCTCCAAGAATGTTGGGTGCCCGGCTGTGCAGCTCGTCCAGCTGGCTGTAGGCAGCCTCAGCCTGCCAAAGGACAGGGGCTTGGCACCCGGTTGGCTGAAAAACGGCTTCACGCCCTGGTCTGGAGGTGGTTGATACTTTGCAGCAAAGCCACCCCCGACCAAAAGGAGGGAACCATTGGGCTTGGTTGTTGCGTTGAGAACCCCGTTTTGGTGAGCAAGACAGGGCACAGAAGGCAAGAATGGCACAAATCATCGAAAGGCCTCAGGGTTTGCGGTTTGCTTCACGGCTCAGATGTCTCGCGCAGCGAGGCCACAAAGGTGCTCGCAGACTGTCAGCTTGAGTCAACTCCCCCCCCTACCCTCACCATGTGCGCACGGCAGGCGCCTCTTGCTCGATCTGCACAAGTCTGGGCCGGATTGCTTCAACCTTGTCCTGCAACCGTGAGCTGGACCGTGAGGCAAATTCAGCTTAACCAAAGGGACAAGTACAAGATGTTGAAATGACAGGGGTCTTTACACAGAAAGCTGACTATCCCGAGACCCTCTTGAGATCATTATCGAGCTGACATCCAATTCGCCTCGCGTCTGTGAAGGCCCGCGTCCCAAATCGGACCACATAGAAGGCGAATAGCCTGATGTACGCCAGTCGCGCGATCACCACCTAGTCTACAAGAACGACATTATTATTTAGAAAGAAACAAATTCGCCTGAGTATCCCTCAGCTCTTGGTAAGTCCAAGTGCCCAGCTTTCGAAAACCCGCGTCACAAATGTGACGAAAAGATCAGAGCCACATGCCCAAACAGAGCTCGGGATAGCAGTTTTGTTGGCTCCTGTGTTTGGACAAGTTTGGCACACGTTACGTTTGTCCGATAAGCCGATCTAAGGAGAAAATAAATAACAACAGTTTACACGTAGAATGACTGAATGAGGTTTTGAAGTCACCTTTTCCTCCGTGGGCTCTTTTAGGCTGAATCCCAGTGGCAATGGCAGTACTAGGGCAACCCTGTTTTTTTGGTTGATTTCAAAGACAAAAACACATCTGCAAAAAGTGCGTAGAGGGCGAGGGTGGCAACCACTGCCCTCTGATTCCCGGGACAGGTCCTTGGCCGCACGCAGCTTCTGAGCCTGGCTGAAACCCGCACTCAGCTGCTTCGACAGCAGAACACTTCAAGGGCAAACCTTTCAAGAGCAACAACTTTAAGAGCAAAAACTCCAAGGGCAAACAAACTTCAGTGGCACAACACCGCAGGGGCCAAAAGTACTTGATGTCGGAAATGGGTGCATGTTCAAGGCGGCACCCTTTTGGAGGGGCTCGGTTTTAATGGTAAACCAAAACCCTAAACCACCTCCCATCTTTCTTTGAAGATCCCATCTTTTCAAGAAAGCATTGAAGCAAGTACTATTCCACCCACCCACCCACCCACCCGACCCGCCCCCCACCCACCCCCACCCACCCGACCCACCCCCACCCACCCCCACCCTCCCCCACCCCCACCTTCACCCCGACAAACCCCCACCCACCCCGACCACCCCAACCACCCCCCACCCACACCAATTTAACCCCAGGCCCAGAGAAGTCATTGAGTCAAAAGGCAACAGGCTCCATGTCACGCGGCTCTTTCAAATAGCGTCAAATAGCGTCATGTTACCACAACTCAATGCAGAACAAACAGGCAGGCTCCATACCATTCGCCACTTATGAGTTTAATTCAGCCAAATCCATTCCCGGGGCTCAATGAGTATTCAATGAGTTCAGAAAGGGCTCAATGTCACGAACCTCTGAGTAAGCTCAACTCATTGAATATAGTGGGTTGCCAGGTCCTTGAGAGTTTAATGCACAAAACCGTTGCCAGGTCCCTACATCATTTTCAACTTTGTGTTAGTTCAATCCAACACGCTTCATCCATTCAATGTTGGCGCTTGAGAATCCATAAGAGGAAACAAGCACCATGTCTCTCATTTCTTTCCAATTGCATGCATGTAAAGGCCATCAAAGCAATGAAGATGTGAAACCCTTCATGGCCGGTCACCACAACTCCACGCCGGCCCAATGTTCGATCCCATCCTGCGACAGCCGCACGAAGCGGGCGGGGTCCTGGAAGCCTCCAGTCCTCAGAGAGATCCACCGAAAAGGCCGGGGGACGGTGGATCCAACTGCCTCAGAACTGGGCCCCAGTGGTTTTTCTTTTTTCAGCATAACTTGTCCCGTGGAGATATGACATGTTTTAGGGATGGCTTTTTCCAGTGATCAAGTAGATCTTAGTGGTCTTGCAGTCCTGTGCTTGAGATATCAAATCTTTTGGTGGGCTTTTTCCAACCAATGGTCCCAATGGTCGTGAGAACCTGTTGATCAACCAAATAGAGGAACAGTATGCGCTTCCTTTCAGCCGGTCCGTAATGGATGGGGCCATGTTCAAAAAAACAGCAGGCTTCCTTTCAAATGGTACAAACCGGAATTCCCCGAACTGGGCGGCTTCCTTGTGGGAGGCTTTAAAAAAAAGAGAAGAAAACAAACGAGTGTACAAACGCAAAGACGCACCAGTGCAGGATCATAAGGTTAAACTTTTGAAAGGGGGTCCGAGAACAGCCCAGATTTGGCACGGATGCAGGGGTCACGTTACAGGGTACGTACACACAAGAGCACTGCTCGTGAAACTAGCTACGCTGCACCCCTGATTCGACAAGGAAAGGACTCAAACTTGCCGACCCAAACAGATGCGTTCTTCTTGGGTAAGCCATCAGATCCCACAGTTTGCAGCGCAAGCTGTTGAGCAAAAGAACATGAGGCGAGTCGTCTCCGGCGAACTGGAGATCTTGGGCAATGGGTTAAATGGAAACCCCCACGAAGCGTTCCCCTCTCCTGGACCCGCAAAATTGAAGCCTGTTTGACATTTGTCCTCAGAGGCAAACGAGCTTTCGCGGTAGCGGACGCCCGGCGCGCGCGGCTTAAGCCCCCGGCAGAGTGCCCCTGCTGCTGACCTGGCGCGTGGCAGGGCACTCAGCCGCTGAGAGCACCCAGCCGGGTCGCTTCGCTCTGTTTTGCTTCGTGCTGTTCGGGCTCCCTACGATCTCCGGTAGCTGTGCCAGACTCTCCATGGCCAACTTGGAGCGTCGGAATTGCCAAAAACCTGCCCTTGGGGCTCTTGAGGCACTATCCTCATGTTGGATTCGATTTCCGTGTGACATGTGACAACTGTCCCATGTCCATCTGCCACACAAACCTCACACAAACCTCACACAAACCTCACACAAACCTCACACAAACCTCACACACGCGCGCCTTGTCCCCTTCCAGGGTTATGGCATCCAGGCCATGCTTTCGACTCACCTGGCACCCGCTCGCTCGCCGACTTGGAAGCGGGAAGCTGACTCGCCAGACTTGGCAACACGCAAGCGGAACTTAACACATAGCCGGACCAATAATGCTTTCCCCATATGAATCAACCAACCTGTGTATTAATATGGGGGTGGGGGCTCTTTCCAATAGTGATGATTCCAACCACTACCTCCACTTGGACACCTCATTAACAAACTGGGGTTGATCAATATTGGGTGACCAAGACTCACCTGACAACCACCCTGTCTTTGCGTGTGGCTCGAAATTGAACAGCTAGGGTTACACTGGCTTTAGTTTCTGCTTCCACGTACCATTTCGGTACATTTATTTGAGCCACAGCCCTTTCACTGCTCTCCCCCGATCTGCTGTAGATGGTTCCGCTGCTGGCAACTCGTGCTTGAAGTTATGTTCGGTGCATATGCATTGAGCAGACGACTGCATACGTCGTGAATCCCCTTGCAGAAAGGGGGCACGCTGTGACCCCCGCCTTCAAATACGCGCCACTACTACCTGCAGCGGTGTTTGGTCTAAGTCGCCCCTCAAACATCCACCTGGGAGTGGGTTTGTCTCAAAAACATAAGAGAACCTCGGTTTTCCTTTGGATTCGGAACAACCATAATCAATTGCCAATTGTTCCTTCAAAACAACACGTACAGTACCCGAGTGAACCATTTCCAAAGAAAGAGATGTGGCGAGTGACTTCACCAGCAGCTCTCGTGTCTTACTCGCGAACACCCAGCATGGGTGTCTCTGCCTAATTTGGGAAAGATAATATCAAAGGGAGACAAAAGGCCCGCCATTTTGGACGAAGCCCGGCATTCTAATGAAGGAGCCTGCGTCCTTTGCACGGGCACGTCGCACGCCGGGTCTCAGCCTCATCACACAACTCCAGGGTGGAGCACACCACAGTCCTGCACACAGCTTCGGCCGCAGTTGTTGCCTATGGGCAAATCCTTAGGCCATTGGATATTGAAAAGACCATCATTGGAACCATTCTTGGACCATGGTTGAAAAGACCATCATCATTATTGCGCCGTTTTTTTGACAGAATTTCAGTGTCTCCCGAGCAAAAATATTCATCAGACTCCATGGTCGACGCATGTCCAACAGGTCAAGGGCACCCTTGCGACCAACTGGAAGCCTGGAAGTCTGCCTCAATGCGCAAGGGTCCGACACAGAAGCTCAGCTCCGGACAGCGAAACAAAGTGACAAAGAACGTCTGGGCAAATCACTGGCACTTCCCAAACCGCAAGTGGGGGTTGATCAAAAGGTGTGTGATACATGGGATGACCAGTGGTTCGAAAACCGCCAAACAGATTTATGATGTCCCTTTAAATGGGAAACGTTACCCATAGCTAGGAATGTTGATCAACCCCCAAGTAAAAGAACACAAGTGACCCGTGCTCCTGCCAAAGACCTGCTGAACCGCAGGAAAGGCCCATTTGGGGCAGCTGATGATGTCCTCAGCGAATCCAAGTGCGGAAGCAACTCCTACCGAACATCCCGTGTCCTTGGCATACACCCATCTGGGAAACGCTTTGGATGCGGTTTTTGTGGATCCACCAGTACTAAAAAGGAACCTACAGGGGGAAGAACAGGTGAAATCCACAAAAAGCGCGAATCCAAGCCGTTTTCTAGACATTATCCACTCATCCCATATTCTCACTAGAGGAAAAAAGATATCTAGAGTCGAAACGAGGGGCACCTATCCAAGGGGTAAGAAGCAAAGCCCAAGAATCAAGCTTGCATCCGCAAATCACGAACAGAAATGGGCCATCTTCTCTTCACTCATTGGGTATGTTAGATTCCTCTGGAGAGCATCCCTGCATGTTCTTCTCTTTTCAGGAAGATAGTGGCTCACACCTATGGTCAAGGTAGGAAGTTGTCTGATGCGCATCCCTGGACCGAGGCTGCGGCGACCAGCGGCTTCACTCCGGAGATCTTCGGATACCTCGGGCTCGCGCAGCTCTCGCCGCATACTTTCATAGGGGTAGGCGCATGGACGCGTCACTTGGGTCAATCGACATGACAGGTATGCAAAAACGCTTCCTTACCAAACCCCCGCGCTCGCTAATTGACAGCCAAATTTGCAACAAGGTCCAAGAAGGGAACCCATCTGCGCTCACCAGGCAACTTCGATCCTTGGGGCTACTCCAAGACTGGTCAAGTCCGGGGAAAATGCTTTACACTGGGCTGTTCCCCTTCGATCCCCTGCTAAAAGTAACTTTTAGTGGTGTGGTGGAAGCTGCCACTAAACCAACTAAATCCTAAAAACCTACAAACCCTAAAAACCACTAAACCAACTAAAACCCAAAAACATCTAAAAACCTAAGGAACCACTAAACCAACTAAAACCCCAAAACATCTAAAAACCTAAGGAACCACTAAACCAACTAAAACCCAAAAACATCTAAAAACCTAAGGAACCGGATGGGAGAGACGGCATCCAGGTGCCGCTCTGCGATTTCGCCTCCGGGGCCTCCTGCTGTCGCGGCTTCACCTCCAGCTGGTTCAGCGGCGTGCACACGATGCCTCGACTGGGACTCGCCAAGCGGGCGGCTGGCGGACGCCCCCCCCCCCCTTCCGTCCAATGCCGTCCCCCCAACTCAGGCGAGAGTTGGAAGAAGTGAAGACGCCCAAAAGACATTCGCAAAAGAGACTTGGGCACTTCCAGGCTTGGCCTGCCCTTGTTGAAACAATCAACCTGCTCTTGGAACGTCAACTCATGTTGTCTGTTTCCCTTTAAACAGGCCATTCCCACGGCGCAGCTTGCCAATTGCCGGGTTCAGTGGACTGCGACTCACCGACGCGACTCACTCTCAGCAGCCGGCTGCCCAAACTGCCCTTGCGCACCAGTGAGACCTGAGATGCCATCGTTCTGCTGGGCATGAATTCACCTATGCGCGGAGGTGAAAGAGGGCATCTGTTAAAACATTTGCAACTTGTGACTTGCAAGGAATTTGGCTTGGCGCATCGTTGGCCATCTGATTGATAGGTGCACGTGCCGATTTCCGATTTCCCCGCTTCGGGACACAAGTGCCATCGCTTAATCCAAAGTGGGCCATGGATCCCTCAATAGGAACCTTTACATCTGTCCCCGTCAACCCCTACGAAGTGAGTGACCACTACCCCAAGCCTTTTGAGGTGACCATCCCTCCAAGCCTTTCGGGCACTTGTGTGTCTTTTGTTTGGCTTTTGCTCGCTTCAACCCTGTCGTGTCAGAGAGCAAATGGCTCTCGGGCAGTGGGCACCCTCGCAGGAGTCCATTGCTCCAGAGGGATCCCAGGAAAACTGGGACCGGTTGGCCGGACTTCTCCCCCTGTACCACTGGAGTGTGAAAAGAATCTGAAGAAGTAACCAGTAGACGATTCTTACAGGCACATCCGCAGTGAAGGATGTCATGAGCGCCCCCCATTACCAAGTGAATGGGAGGCTTGACCACAGGTACGATCCCTGGGCGCATCTGGCTGGATGCGCGTAAAATCAAGCACCTCCTGGCTGCATCCAAGTCGCAATCTGCCCAGCGATGCTGTCATCCTTGACCTCTGACAGCGATCGAGAGGTCTTTCTTCTATGTCATGGCTGTCAAATGCTACCGGTTCGAGAGCCGTTGTGTTGGTGTTTGCTCATGGTCTTGGCGCAATTTGACAACCCTTTGAATGCGCACGAAAAGAACTCTTACTGGGGAACTCTCCTCATCTTGCTGGTTCTCAGCAGAGCATGAGGGAATGACCCCTGTAAATCTTCCTGGTTTCCTTTCAGGGAATCCCGAGGTTCATTCCCAACACTCGAAATGGCATTCCCTACTGGGCACCAGCAAGTGATTTTACATCAGAGTCTCTTTGTCCCGGGCCCCGGTCCCAAAGCCAGAAACATCAAAGACTCTTAATCTTTCCCTGGCCCAGCCTAGGACCTATCGGGAGGACGCTGTTGCCTACGAAGCAGAGTTGTTTAGGAAGTTCCCACATTCCCCTGCACGAAATCAAAGGTGAGTGCCACTGACACGCAACTGTTTCGCAACTGTTTGGCTTGGTATTTTGAAAGCAAGAAACAATGCCGTGTCTTTCTTGGGGTGGCTTGAAAGGGAAATCAAGGGAACCACCCTCTCTGGGTCCGTCATTTAGAGACACACTTTGCATGGCCTTTGTCAAAGATGGAGCGCAGCTTGTCTAGCTGGAGACATTGCCACGGAGCATGATGAAGGCAAAGGTGCTCTTGGACAGGCTGGTTCTCGGTGGGGAATTAACCGGGCTTTGGGGAATGAACGGATTCCCTGAAAGGGCCTACAAGGGGATGGTTCATAGGAGTGATTCCCTCATTCCCTGCTGAAAACCAAGATACGAGTAACAAGACAGAAGCATGCTAGAAAGCGGATGGAACACTCAAAGGAGAGGGAAACACAGTTTTGTCAACAACGGGGGAACCCGGGACCTTAAAACGAACGAACCCCTCCGTGACTGCGACCTCTCCCTTAACCTTGGGGTTAGCGCGAGCAACGCGCTGTTTTCAGCACCTGAGCCAAAGCAGTGATTGGATCATGCTCTGGCATTGACTTGAATGTACAACATGCAACTGACTACATGAGAACCTACCTCATGTACCTCTGGGCCATAAATGTCATCGTGATAATTGACTCCCCCCTCATTGACGGCACTGAGGGAGTGTCTTGGGCGCATTACCACGCCAACTTGAAGTCAAGTTTACATCCCAACGACTGACGCAAGTTATTCAAGCATCACCCAGGCACTTTGCACACTTTTGGAAATTTTGTAGACATGCTGCAGCGCACTAGGCAGCTGCTTTAGCGGATCTACTCTCACGAACGTCTTCAAGCTTCTCTGGAAGGTCAACACGAATGCCGAGCAACCGGATGGCATGGTCCCACTTGTTGGGTGGAAGTGCTTTCGTGAAGATGTCTGCTGACTGCATGTCGGTTTGGACGTATTCTATCGAGATGTGTTCGCTTTCAAGCTGTTCTGCGATGCACGCGAGGTTCACCTTGTGGGTGCGCTGGACACAGCGTAGCTTGGATGAGAATCCTTTCTTTGCTACGAGGATAGTCGCCTGGTTGTCCTCGTGGATCTTGAGATGGAATGGTCTGTCCAAGATCAGCTCCCATAAGCTGAGCGCAGGGAGCGCCTCCTGATAAAGGGAGTACGCGAGGGATACGATCTCCGCCTCGGTTGTCGATCGGGAGACCGAGGTCTGCCTTTTAGACACCCACGCAAGGGGGAAATGCGTATGCGGACCACTCAAAGTCAAGAATCCTCCGGACGTTGATTTTGCGTCTCGTTCTCCAGCGAAATCGGCGTCCACATAGAGAGCCAGATGCAACTCATCAGTCGAATCCTGAACTGTGCCAACTAGCGTGCTGTTGACCGTGCTGTTTATGTAGCAGACAAGCCTATGTAGCTGCTTATCGCAGTTCCTAGACCATTTCTGAACAAATGAGGCAAGGTCGCCAATGGGCTTGACCAGGTCTGGGCGTGCCAAACGGCCGAGCCACAAGGCTTTCATTAACACGCGGCAAGCGGCGAAGCCGAGCTCACCCTCCAAGGCGTCATCTGCAGGATCAAGGGATCCAGCGGGACAGAATGGAGTGGTGGCATCACGCAACTTTTCTGTTTTTAGCTGTGCAACCTCAAGATATAATGCAACCGTTTGACGGGCATAATCCCGCATGTCGAACGCCATGGCCCCTTTCAATCTGCCCATTGCGGCATTAAGATCGGGTTCAGTTGGGTCCTTTGGAGCATCTATCAAAAGGTGATTCCTGCCTAGCACCCGGTATATGTCTTCTGGGGGTTCTATATCAACCAGTCTTGTTAACTTTTCCCAGAAGTGTTTATGAAGGTGGCTGGGGCCGGCCAACGTCAAGTCGTCGACGTATGTCGAGAGAAGTAACCCGGACTCCTTGAACCAGAAGTTTCCAGGAAACTCTGCGACCTCACGCCCTCCAAGTTCACTAATGAACCCTTTGAGGTGTGCCTCCCAGAGTCCGCCAGCGTCAGGATGCCCATAAAGAGCTTTAACGAGCAAAACCACAGGTTTCACGAAACGCTCGCGCCACCACCTTGGCCGGAGCTCAGGCGGGAGTGTGATCCAAGTTTGGTACTTGGACTTCAGCAGTGCTTGCACATAAGCCTTTATAGCGTCCGCTGTTGTGGTGGAATTCCCTGGCAGGGATCCATAAGCGAGACAGTTATTAAGACCTTGTATGCTCGTGGGATTTGCTCCCAATTCTTGGTAGACAGCTGCCGCGCCATGTTCGTCTTTCGCACAGTCTCCGCGATACACAATCCTACCTTTCATCTTCTGAAGGTGTTTCGCGAGTTCGGCGAACTTGACGGATGCTAGCGACATCAACTGCCCGAAATGGACTTTTATACTGGATCGTCGCGCCTCAGCAGCGACTTGATCATACTCTCGGACTGAATTTAGATCCCAAGCACCGGCTTTCTCCAGGCCTGTGGCTTCAAGTCGAACGGCTTCAAGGGCTTCCGGGGAAGCCAACATTTCGGCACGTGACAAGAGTCTGGTCACCATTGCGGTGATCTCAGGATCCTTGTTCTCCTTGACTTGTCCTAGGGAATGTGCGATGAGATTTTCAACATCAAGAACTTGTTCAAGGATGTCGTGACACTTTTCATCGGACTCAACAGCAACACCTATATCTTCCAAACCAGAGAGAGGGGATATGTGTTTCAACTGCTGTTCACGTTCCCGGTGATCGAGAGGCAATGGCACTTGGACAGGCATCGCAGGCACAACGGGTTGAACTGTCGGATACAGCGCACGGGCAACTGTGAGACACATGCCTTCGGGGTAGAAAGCGGTCTTTGCGGTCTTGTTACCTGCTGCAAGCGAATGTTTATACCCTTTTTCGTGCGGACACTTGAATGCACCTAGTGCGGATGCGAGTGTGCTATTGCTGGTCATGACTTTCCATGGCTTCTTGATGGGATAACCATTGCTGTCCTTCAGACCTAGGGCGCAACCGTGGAAGGTCGCTGGGGTGAAGACGTGTGCGTATTCTCTAAAGAATGCAGAAACATCATCCCTAGCCCAGCTGTCGCAATCCCTTGGCCACTCAAACGAAACACTACCCCCCTGATGGAGGACAGTCTCTGCGTGACGTCTGAATCTGGAGAACAACTCTCTCGACTCTTTAACCTTTTGCTTCAGTTTCTTTTTGAACTGGCTTCCTAACTTGGCCTTATTAAGGCGTTGCCATGCTGAACCTGATGTACAGGGAATTGCAGCCCAGAGATTGGGTTTATCACAACCTTCAATCTGCGACTGCAACTGGATTTCTCCTTCATCTGTGCTAAGGTCGATAAACTCTTTAGCCAGCCTAACATGAGGTATACCAAGACCTTCAAACACGCGACCCATATTGGACTCTGGTGAACATGCGTATTCGAACATCACAGGCAACTTGTCAATGCGTGCCTGTCTCTTGCGGGCACGATGATTTCCTACCTCAAACTGCTTGCGCTGCGGAGCTTCAACCTCTGCGCTGCACGGCATGCCAAAAATTGGCAATGTATCCGGACGACCGTTCTTTGACGCTTCGGTGAGAGGTGTCGGCGGTACGGAGTCTAGCATCACGGCTGCACCTGTGGTGATAACACAATCGGACTGAATGGGTTTTAACTTGAACACTGTGAACCCGGTCCATGCATCTCCAAGTGAGCGATTAGGTCGGCTTCCAAACCAACCATCGTGGATGTTGTCTGCTTTGCCCCCCTGAAACACGGCACGAGTGGTGCGAGCTGCAGTAAATCTTTCTGGGGAAACGGGGCAATCCTCGACCTCTTTTGGGGTAAAAAAATTCTGCCTTGGCATGATATGGTAGCGAACCAAACAGTTGGCATTTTCTTTGAACACCCAAAAATCTTCACCTTGCGATGTTGCGGCTGTCGCTGGCGCGGTATCGAAAAATGAGCCACCGGGTCTTGAGGGGGCGGGCTCCCCAGCTTCGGCTGCATCAAATTCATGCGCAACATCTTCTGCACTAACTGCGGTCTTAGGGTCTTCTTCATGCTCGGATGCGTGGATTGCTCTGGCTAGCTCCTCATCCCCTTCAGTGTGAACAATGGGAATGGATTCCTTAGATTCAGTTTTGGCAGCGCTTTTTGCAGCTGCTTCAGCTCGATCTGCAGAAACAAGTTCGGAGAACCTCTTCTTGCATTCGGCACTGTGAATCTTGGAATGACCGGTGCATGCACGGCAACCTGGTGTTTCCTTGAACTTGATGATCCTCTCAACAGTTATGCACACGGATTTTGACTTGACAGCGGATGGAGTCGGTGGGGCACCAAAGGGCGCCTCTCGCAGGGGCAAAGGTGGGGGATCAGACCCTTCTGTCTTGCCACCATGCAATGCTCTATCTGCTGCTGCTGCAATCGGAAAGCTTGGGGGTCCGTCCTCAACGAACAATTCCGGTTCGGGAACATCGTGAACGGAAATGGAACCATCTTTGCGGAATGCTTCATAGTCCATGACTTTGACCACGTTACGGTACCGCAACCCCGGGTCGA